CGTAGTTCGCTCTTATTATGTCCTCAAGGGCAGAGTTGAGGCATGTACTCGCCTAATTGTGCTTGAGGGAGTTGAGCTTCGGCTCTTTGGTCCCGCCTCTCAACTGTCAGTCAACTGGTGTACAGATTCCTGAGTCTACTGAGCTCCATCATATCTACATTTGAGACTGTGTATGGAGTCAGCCTCCACCACATCACTCCCTAGTGCATTCCATTTGTTAACTACCCTGACACTGAAAAAATTCTTTCTAACGTCTCTGTGGCTCATCTGAGAGGTGAGGCTGAGGCTTCCCAGGTGAGGTTACAAGCCCACCAGTTCCCAGGCGAGGCTACAAGCCCACCAGTTCCCAGGCGAGGCTACAAGCCCACCAGTTCCCAGGCGAGGCTACAAGCCCACCAGGTACAAGCCCACCAGTTCCCAGGCGAGGCTACAACCCACCAGTTCCCAGCGAGGCTGTTCCCAGGCGAGGCTACAAGCCCACCAGTTCCCAGGCGAGGCTAGAAGCCCACCAGTTCCCAGGCGAGGCTACAAGCCCACCAGTTCCCAGGCGAGGCTAGAAGCCCACCAGTTCCCAGGCGAGGCTACAAGCCCACCAGTGTGTGTGTGTGTGTGTGTGGGTGTACTCGTCAAACTGTTTGCAGAAGTTGTGCTCGAGTTCCTGGCCGCCACCTGTAAAGCGCGTTGTCAGAGGTGTTGTGACGCTGGCGCCATTTGTGGAGTTAGAGAGTGTTGTGGTCGCGTGTGTGGCGGCATATGCCCATGACAGGTTACCAGCTGGTTGACACACACCCGCCAACTGTTGTTATGCTTCCAGCCGAGTGAGCATAACTTGTTAACTAAACGTGGCTGCTTCTTACCGCAGAGTTGTGGCCGGCACCCTTTGTTGTGGTGGGGGGCGTGGGGCGTTGTTGGTTGTGCCGTGAGTGGGTCTGGGCCGTGGGTGGGTCTGGGCCGTGGGTGGGTCTGGGCCGTGGGTGGGTCTGGGCCGTGGGTGGGAGAATGTCATATCCGGTATTTAAGTAGAAATGTTCGATGGGAATCACTTAAGTTATTGATAGCTACAGTTCGCATACCTTCACAACTCGCTCCACACCTTCGTGTCCTCCCTCCCTTCCCCTCTATCTCTCCTCTCCCCTTGCTTGTCTCTCCCCTCTCTGTCTCTCCACTCCCTCTCCCCAGCCCTGTCGCTCTCCTCCCTCTCCTACCTGTCTGTTTCTGTCCTCCTCTTTCCCATCAACCCTCTCTCTCTCTCCCCTCCCTATCTCTCTCGCCCTGCCTATCTTCCCTCGCTCTGCCTCCCTCCACCTGCCTGGTCAGTTCCTCCTGCGTGACCCGCCAGGGCCCTGAGCCGGGTTTAGGGCCTCAAGAAGTCACCTCATCATGTTCTCCAAGAGCGAGACGAGTGTCCAGTTTACCAGAAGCGTAATTCATTTCCCCGACCTCTTGTCCCATGTCACCCAGGCAAGCCGCTCCCAGCACTTCCTTCGTAATATCATTGAAACACTACGCTAGTTAACATGACTGGGGCGGAGACTTTGTGTGTCTCTGGAGTGAACGTTGTGTGTGTGTGTGTCTCTGGAGTGGACATTGTGTGTGCGTTTTATAGTTACCGTGTAAGGAGAGACGTGTCGAGGTGTATCCTCTTATTAAGGATCGCTGCACACGTTGCCTGTCAAGGGTGTGGACGCTTGCTCTGTACCGTGCCTGGCGGCCCCCGGCATCCACCTGTGCCTTCAACCAGTTCCCAGGCGAGGCTACAAGCCCACCAGTTCCCAGGCGAGGCTACAAGCCCACCAGTTCCCAGGCGAGGCTACAAGCCCACCAGTTCCCAGGCGAGGCTACAAGCCTACCAGTTCCCAAGCGAGGCCACAAGCCCACCAGTTCCCAGGCGAGGCTACGATTTGATTGTGGTAAACGGTGATAGAAGACAAGCAGTATAATTCTGAGCCTGACTGCTGGCAGACGATTACACCGTCGCGGGCAGGAGCCCAGCTGCTGGCACCTCAGGGCATTATGGTGGACCACTCGCGCCCTTGGTGCTCGGCGCCGTATTTATTAACGGCAGTAAATTACGCTCTAGGAATATTTATATGTGACCTTGAGAGCTGCTGACGTGACTGTGGGCACGCGTGGGGGGGCCGCTACCTGGAATAGTGGCTTCAACCACCCTCATTATCCTCCTGATTGGTCAGTAGCGCCCAGGGTGCTGTACCTCATCAGCGGATGGGTAGTTGGTGGTCGTCAGTGCGTCCCGGGAGGGTGTATCAGGTCTCCAAGGCCCCGCTGGGCCAACACTGGCTGTCATGATCTTTGTTCACTGTCTTCGGTCTCCGAGGCGCTCTGTTCGGAAGGAGAGTTTAGTGTTTGTCTTATTTCTACAGCAGCTACTGCTGTAGGCTAGCAGTAGCTGCTGTAGTAATGGTACTAGTGGAAGTTGTGGTTGGAGTGGTGTGTACCAGCTCCAGTGGTACACAGGTACTCAGCTCGTGTGCGTGTGAGGTGATGAGGTACAGTGGTCCGCTAAGCCGACGCTCCTCGCACATTATTGGGTCAAGCTTGTCATATTCTCCTGTTCCAGAACTACAAAGTCTTTAATCTGCACTTGGTGTTTTACGAATTAAATTTTTAATATTAGTTTAAAATATATTGTGATATTTCCTTTCAAATATTAAGAAATAATTACTACTCTAATATGATATTTTGGATACTGAAGCGTTATTTTTAGTGTACTTCACACACACACACACACACACACACACACACACACACACACACACACACACACACACACACACACACACACACACATTAGTATCGAGTATACATTATATTTGATACATTAGGTGAATGTGACCGTCAGGTGGTATTATCTGGAAAAACATCCGATCTTACCTCTTGCAACACGCTCCTACACCTCGTAACACTCCCACACCTCGTAACACTCCCACACCTCGTAACACTCCTACACCTCGTAACACTCCCACACCTCGTAACACTCCCACACCTCGTAACACTCCCACACCTCGTAACACTCCCACACCTCGTAACACTCCCACACCTCGTAACACTCCCACACCTCGTAACACTCCCACACCTCGTAACACTCCCACACCTCGTAACACTCCCACACCTCGTAACACTCCCACACCTCGTAACACTCCCACACCTCGTAACACTCCCACACCTCGTAACACTCCCACACCTCGTAACACTCCTACACCTCGTAACACTCCCACACCTCGTAACACTCCCACACTTCTGGAACTAGCAACTCACGAGTACCTGGTTTTCAGTTCGAATTACCAGCGACCTGCAGTGCCTTTAGAGATGACCTTGTGGCACTTCCTGGACGGTCTGCTGAACCTGTTGCAACCTGTAGCACCACCTGGACGACCTGGGTCAACTATGACAACCTGTAGCGCCTACTGGACGACCTGGGTCACCTATGACAACATGTAGCGCCTACTGGACGACCTGGGTCACCTATGACGACCTGTAGCACCTCCTGGACGACCTGGGTCACCTATGACGACCTGTAGCGCCACCTGGACGACCTGGGTCACATATGACGACCTGTAGCGCCACCTGGACGACCTGGGCCACCTATGACGACCTGTAGCGCCTACTGGACGACCTGGGTCACCTATGACGACCTATAGCACCTCCTGGACGACCTGGGTCACCTATGACGACCTGTAGCGCCTACTGGACGACCTGGGTCACCTATGACGACCTGTAGCACCTCCTGGACGACCTGGGTCACCTATGACGACCTGTAGCGCCACCTGGACGATCTGGGTCACCTATGACGACCTGTAGCACCTCTTGGACGACCTGGGTCACCTATGACGACCTGTAGCACCTCTTGGACGACCTGGGTCACCTATGACGACCTGTAGCACTCTGGACGACCTGGGTCACCTATGACGACCTGTAGTCACCTCCTGGACGACCTGAGTCAGCTATGACCTGTCCTGGATGACCTGGGTCACCTATGACGACCTGTAGCGCCTACTGGACGACCTGGGTCACCTATGACGACCTGTAGCGCCACCTGGACGATCTGGGTCACCTATGACGACCTGTAGCACCTCTTGGACGACCTGGGTCACCTATGACGACCTGTAGCGCCACCTGGACGATCTGGGTCACCTATGACGACCTGTAGCACCTCTTGGACGACCTGGGTCACCTATGACGACCTGTAGCACCTCCTGGACGACCTGGGTCACCTATGACGACCTGTAGCACCTCCTGGACGACCTGAGTCACCTATGACAACCTGTAGCGCCTCCTGGATGACCTGGGTCACATATGACAACCTGTAGCACCTCCTGGACGACCTGAGTCACCTATGACGACCTGTAGCGCCTCCTGGACGGCGTAGATCACAAATAACGACCCGTAACGCCTCATTGCACGACCTGGTGTTCCCCCCATAACGACCTTACAGCACACCAAGACGTGCCCGCCACCAGCCTGGCGGGTAACGAAGCCTGGCCCACATACCCCGCAGACTGTCATCGCCGGAGACCACAATGGTTCTCGCTCACAGTGTTATTAATCCCTGCTATTTCTAGCCGGCGGCGCCGCCATTAGCCCCCCCACTTGCCGCACCTGCGCCAGCTGCCCTCTCTACTCCCACTAACAATTGCAACGCAAAAACGCACAATGCAACACATGAATAATTATGTGTCGTGATGAATAATGAGACTCGGGGCGTGCAAGCCAGCAAATAAGATTTTTGCAAATTAACATTTGTAGGTTGCACGCGAGTATGGGGTTCTGGGAGGCGTATTAGCGAGGATAATACTGTGTGCTGCTTTGTGGGGAGTGTGTGTGTGTGTGTGTGTGTGTGTGTGTGTGTGTGTGTGTGTGTGTGTGTGTGTGTGTGTGTGTGTGTGTTTGTTGCTGTGTATGTGTTGGTGCTGTGTGTGTGTGTTGGTGTGTGCTGTAGTGGTGGTGGTTGTGGTGTGCTGTAGTGGTGGTGGTGGTTGTGTCCTGTAGTGGTGGTGGTGGTGGTGGTGATGGTAGGCGCTGATCAAAGACAACTACGCAGATAGATTATAAAGCAAGACGTGACAAAGAGTTGGCTTTCAGGACACACACCAGCAAGTTGACTCACACGACCCCAACATTCCTGCTGGAGCCCCCCCTCCCCCCCCCAGGTGAAGGGTTCCCTCCAAGGTCAAGGTCTGGGGAGGGAGGGAGTGACCTCTGACCTTCAGCTGGTGGACACTGGTGGTTGTGTTGGCCATTGTTAATGTTAGAGTGTGTGGGGTGTGAGGCACTATTACTTACCTGTGTTACTGTTACAGAGTGGTGGTGATGGTGGCAGTGATGTCGTGGTGGCAGTGAAGGAGCAGTAGCAGCAGCACCATGGCCCGGGGCTGTGACAACACCAACATGAACCACAACAACCCAACCCAGCAGCAGCACCTGTGAGTCTCACCCTCCCTTCCCCTCACTCGTGCCTCCTTTCCCCTCACTCATGCCTCCCTTCCCCTCACTCATGCCTCCAATCCCCTCACTCGTACCTCCCTTCCCCTCACTCGTACCTCCCTTCCCCTCACTCATGCCTCCCTTCCCCTCACTCGTACCTCCCTTCCCCTCACTCGTACCTCCCTTCCCCTCACTCGTACCTCCCTTCCCCTCACTCATGCCTCCCTTCCCCTCACTCGTACCTCCCTTCCCCTCACTCATGCCTCCCTTCCCCTCACTCATGCCTCCCTTCCCCTCACTCATGCCTCCCTTCCCCTCACTCATGCCTCCCTTCCCCTCACTCATGCCTCCCTTCCCCTCACTCATGCCTCCCTTCCCCTCACTCATGCCTCCCTTCCCCTCACTCATGTCTCCCTTCCCCCTCACTCATGCCTCCCTTCCCCTCACTCGTACCTCCCTTCCCCTCACTCGTACCTCCCTTCCCCTCACTCATGCCTCCCTTCCCCTCACTCGTACCTCCCTTCCCCTCACTCATGCCTCCCTTCCCCTCACTCGTACCTCCCTTCCCCTCACTCATGCCTCCCTTCCCCTCACTCGTACCTCCCTTCCCCTCACTCATGCCTCCCTTCCCCTCACTCATGCCTCCCTTCCCCTCACTCATGCCTCCCTTCCCCTCACTCATGCCTCCCTTCCCCTCACTCATGCCTCCCTTCCCCTCACTCATGCCTCCCTTCCCCTCACTCATGCCTCCCTTCCCCTCACTCATGCCTCCCTTCTCCTCACTCATGCCTCCCTTCTCCTCACTCATGCCTCCCTTCCCCTCACTCATGCCTCCCTTCCCCTCACTCATGCCTCCCTTCCCCTCACTCATGCCTCCCTTCTCCTCACTCATGCCTCCCTTCCCCTTACTCATGCCTCCCTTCTCCTCACTCATGCCTCCCTTCCCCTCACTCATGCCTCCCTTCCCCTCACTCATGCCTCCCTTCCCCTCACTCATGCCTCCCTTCCCCTCACTCATGTCTCCCTTCCCTTCACTCGTACCTCCCTTCCCCTCACTCGTACCTCCCTTCCTTCACTCGTACCTCCCTTCCCCTCACTCATGCCTCCCTTCCCTCACTCGTACCTCCCTTCCCCTCACTCGTACCTCCCTTCCCCTCACTCATGCCTCCCTTCCCCTCACTCGTACCACCCTTCCCCTCACTCATGCCTCCCTTCCCCTCACTCATGCCTCCCTTCCCCTCACTCATGCCTCCCTTCCCCTCACTCATGCCTCCCTTCCCCTCACTCATGCCTCCCTTCCCCTCACTCATGCCTCCCTTCCCCTCACTCATGCCTCCCTTCCCCTCACTCATGCCTCCCTTCCCCTCACTCATGCCTCCCTTCCCCTTACTCATGCCTCCCTTCTCCTCACTCATGCCTCCCTTCCCCTCACTCATGCCTCCCTTCCCCTCACTCATGCCTCCCTTCCCCTCACTCATGCCTCCCTTCTCCTCACTCATGCCTCCCTTCCCCTTACTCATGCCTCCCTTCTCCTCACACATGCCTCCCTTCCCCTCACTCATGCCTCCCTTCCCTCACTCATGCCTCCCTTCCCCTCACTCATGCCTCCCTTCCCCTCACTCATGCCTCCCTTCCCCTCACTCATGCCTCCCTTCCCCTCACTCATGCCTCCCTTCCCCTCTCTCATGCCTCCCTTCACCCTCAGAGGTAACAGAGGTGTGGGAGCCCTCACCTGTCAGTGATCCTCAAGCATGTTATGGTCACCACACTGACTGTCCTCCCACTATACTGTGTCGTGCCCCACACTGGTGTACTGTGTCGTGCCCCACACTGGTGTACTGTGTCGTGCCCCACACTGGTGTACTGTGTCGTGCCCTCACTGATGTACTGTGTCGTGCCCACACTGGTGTACTGTGTCGTGCCCCACACTGGTGTACTGTGTCGTGCCCCACACTGGTGTACTGTGTCGTGCCCCTCACTGGTGTACTGTGTCGTGCCCTCACTGATGTACTGTGTCGTGCCCACACTGGTGTACTGTGTCGTGCCCCACACTGGTGTACTGTGTCGTGCCCTCACTGATGTACTGTGTCGTGCCCCACACTGGTGTACTGTGTCGTGCCCCACACTGGTGTACTGTGTCGTGCCCCACACTGGTGTACTGTGTCGTGCCCCACACTGGTGTACTGTGTCGTGCCCCACACTGGTGTACTGTGTCGTGCCCCACACTGGTGTACTGTGTCGTGCCCCACACTGGTGTACTGTGTCGTGCCCCTCACTGGTGTACTGTGTCGTGCCCACACTGGTGTACTGTGTCGTGCCCCACACTGGTGTACTGTGTCGTGCCCCACACTGGTGTACTGTGTCGTGCCCCCCACACTGGTGTACTGTGTCGTGCCCCACACTGGTGTACTGTGTCGTGCCCCACACTGGTGTACTGTGTCGTGCCCCCCACACTGGTGTACTGTGTCGTGCCCCACACTGGTGTACTGTGTCGTGCCCCACACTGGTGTACTGTGTCGTGCCCCACACTCAGTATAGTGCGTCATTCACACAGCACGACGTGTGACATGCGCATACTCTCTATACTCGTTGTGTTGTTAACATTCAGTGTGGGTGTACATTCAGTGTTGCATCACTCAATGTACAACATTGAGTGATGCAACATAACGTTCCTGGCTATCAATGGTGTGGTCGCTAGTATGAGTGAGCGCCAGAGTAAGCTCGTGTCACATACTGTTGTTGTTGTAGATTTAAACTACTCATAACAAAATGTCCGTGTAGCACGGGCTATAGTGACCCCGTAAAAATACACACTGCCTCTCACTTAAGCACACTGTCAACCTGACAGCTGATGGCGTTGAGTGAGGCGCCACACTTCCTACGTTAGCAAGCCTGAATCACTTCTTACTGATATCGCTCTCTCGACGTAGAATGAATGATAACACGTATCCTGCCTGCCAGAGCCGCACCGTTTAAGAGGGAACCAAACAGGCCAATCGTCACAACTCCTCACGACCTGTAGCGAGTGCATCCAGGGCCGGTGCTGGTGTGAAGTGCTCTGATGCTCCCCGGCGCTACACTCTCTCCATCTCGCCTCATAAACACGTCTATGGGGTCAGGCTCTCACTGCCACCTTCTCTAACTCGGAAAAAACAATATAAAGTGAGACAGAGATTTTTCTGATCATTATTTGCTGCTCATATATGATCTGTGTGCTCTGGGACCATCCAGATACACTGTCGATGTTCGACACGTCACTTGAGCTCTTTCCCCCTGAAGGGTACCTAGGGTTTCCGACACATCTGGCGGGTGTTTCCGCTTTGACATACAAGGCTTCACAAGCACAAGCTGGTCCAGTGCTCCTCACAACTGTTGTTTACACCACGGTAGCGGAAGCTCTCTGACCTGAAGCATTTCCATAACGTAGGCCAGATAACTGCAAGTCCAATAACAATTGCCAAACTCGTCAGATTCCCAAATGTAGACGACCTTTGTGTTATATGTAGCAAATGTTTATATGAATGAATTATATATATATATATATATATATATATATATATATATATATATATATATATATATATATATATATATATAATCATTCATATATATATATATAATGTATATCCTATTTAAGTTACGTGGTGCTAACTGTGTTTATTGTTCCTTTGACGTGTTTCGTATTTCTGTTGCGGAACGCTTCCAGGGAGTGCGACGTGCCCACAATCCATATCAAAGACGGAGGTGACGACGACGACGAGGACGACGACGACGCCCAGGTGTTCCTCCAACACCTGGGCACGAACTACGGCATCACGGCCCGCTCCAAGACCAGCAGGAGGTCCATTACTCTCAGCAAGGGTGGGTATCGCAGTATTTAGAGGGAGGGGGGGGCATTCCTTGTCAAGGGTAAGACGGATAGTATAAGCTCCCTATTCCTTCGAAAGGGAAGGTATAGGAGAGCATTAGGAACTTTGTCCTGGGTAGTAACTTGTATCAGGTGCAGCACACTCAAGCAGACCAACTCTTCCGCCATTATTCTCTCTCCAAGTGTAAACATTACCCCCCCCCCCTTCCTTCCTGTCCTAGACACGTCTTTCACCTGACGTCACGTGACCACCTGTGGGGTCAAAAGACGCAGTGTTCGGATTATACATACGACATCAGATGTGAATAATGAATCTTATCGGTGGTTGTAGCGTTGAGGATGTCAAGTGCGTCTCACTACAACAATGATGGAACTGTATACCGCACGTCAGCCACTCGTTCTTAACACTATGACCAACAACCATATAGCTCACTATTCACACCCGATCCTCTACACGTTTGATTAGTTACAATATATTTACCTTTTATGTTTAGTGCCGTCAATTGTATGCATTCTTCCCTAAGATCCTATATCTAGAATGATAATATACATCGATGCTTTGTTGTCACTCCTCCTGGGCCGACAACTTCAAAACAGCTGGCTCATCTAAAGCTCTTTTCTACAGACAGTCTAAGGAAGCCAGCGCATGTCCCACACTTTCACACACACACACACACACACACACACACACACACACACACACACACACACACACACACACACACACACACACACACACACACACACACACACAGTCCAACAAAGCCGGCTGCTCACCTTCAGTTCTGTCCTGCAGAAGAGTCGCGGGTCGGGTCGGCGGTGTCTACGGCGGTGTCGAGGCAGAAGTCGTCGCGTACACTGATAGACGTCACCACGCGGCTGACGCAGGGCAACGAGGGCCAGCTCTACCGGCTCCTCTCAGCCAAGAGGAATCACATCCAGGAACTTAGCAGTGATGTTATTTTCCTCCACAACAGAATCAAGGTACGTCCTTCAAGAACTGGGTAGGCTCTCCAGGGTCAAGTTAGGTCCCCCAGCGTCAAGATAGGCTCCCCCAGGGTCAAGGTACATCCCCCAGGATCAAGGCATATGCCTTGGGCGACCAATGAGAATGCAGCAGCAGATCACAGCGTCCTCTCGACTAGGTAGCCACCACTGGTCTCATCACACTAACAAGGAATAAACTTATCTTTCTTTTGTATTTCCGTTCCTTCTACCCCTCAAGATGCCAAGGTGTGTCTTAGCAACAGACGTGAGGCCAATGGAAAGGGTAAAGAAAACATTGGAGAGTTACTTCTTAAACTTTGCTAACCTGGTGAAGAGAACCCAATACATGTAGAGGAGATCCAAGATAAAATAATTAATTTAATCCTTACCGCCATGTTCACCAGCATATGTGAACAAGAGACATGTACAAGAGTCATGTGTACAAGACACACATACAATTATCAGATGTACACGACACGTGTGTGTGTGACCCGAGGCATGTCTCCGGTCTCTCTCTCACACACACACACACACACACACACACACACACACACACACACACACACACACACACACACACACACACACACACACACACACACACACACACACACACACACACACACACACACACACACACACACACACACACAACACACACACACACACACACACACTACTCTGTAAATTTAATAAGAACACCAAGAGAACAGGGGAGATTGCATTAAACTACTAATGGTTCAAAAGGTGGAAGTAAGGAGTTGAAACTGGAGGGCGCAGACACAACTAGGTGAGTACACATGCTCCCTCGTACATACAAGCACAAGTCACAGCACCAACACCAAACACCAGTCACAACTCCAGCAGCAAGCACCAGTCACAACTCCAGCAGCAAGCACCAGTCACAACTCCAGCAGCAAGCACCAGTCACAACTCCAGCAGCAAGCACCAGTCACAACTCCAACAGCAAGCACCAATCACAGCTCCAGCAGCAAGCACCAGTCACAGCTCCAGCAGCAAGCACCAGTCACAGCTCCAGCAGCAAGCACCAGTCACAGCTCCAGCAGCAAGCACCAGTCACAGCTCCAGCAGCAAGCACCAGTCACAGCTTCAACACCAAGCACCAGTCACAGCTCCAGCAGCAAGCACCAGTCACAACTCCAGCAGCAAGCACCAGTCACAACTCCAGCAGCAAGCACCAGTCACAACTCCAACAGCAAGCACCACTCTACTGGACTGTTAAGAGTTAATAAGTGTACCACGCACAGTAGCCACCAGGCGCGGTCTTAAAGCTGGATTTGGCTTCCTGTAAGCACAACTAAGCCAGCCCAGCCAAGTAAACCTGCAGCCAGGTCAGCTCAGCCATGTAAGCCTGCAGCCAGGTAAGCCTGCAGCCAGGTAAGGCTGCAGCCAGGTAAGCCTGCAGCCAGGTAAGCCTGCAGCCAGGTAAGCCTGCAGCCAGGTAAGCACAGCCAGGCCAGTAGAAATTGCTTAGAGATAAGCTGTACAGTTCTTGTTTAACGAGGACCTGGAGGCTCTTGACGTCCTCAAATTGGAGAATTTATGAGTTGACTCAGAACTGTCTTACCTGGAATTTGGCCAGGTTGATACAGGTGAATATATGTAGTGTGGAAGGTGTTAGGTGGGCGTGAGTGTGGCGGAGGGAACCCATGTGATCAATACTCACATGGGGACCAGCCTGCAGCCCACTGCTTCATCACCTCTTAGTACATTCACTACTACACTCCTCCCCCCCCCCTCGAACCATCTCTCATAAGCAGGTCGTCATTACTCTTTATTCAACCTACGCAAGACCAACTTTCCAGTGTGCAGCTTAGGCATCAAATATCATCTGAAATATTACAATGAAACTAAACAGAAGTTCGTAGATATATGAGGGGGTGAGTGGGGAGGGGGTGAGTGGGGAGGAGGTGAGTGGGGAGGGGGTGAGTGGGGAGGGGGTGAGTGGGGAGGGGGTGAGTGGGGAGGGGGTGAGTGGGGAGGGGGTGAGTGGGGAGGGGGTGAGTGGGGAGGGGGTGAGTGGGGAGGGGGTGAGTGGGGAGGGGGTGAGTGGGGAGGGGGTGAGAGGGGAGGGGGTGAGAGGGGAGGGGTGTGAGGGGGGTGGGTGAAGGGGGGGGGCGGACGAGAGACTGGCTGGTCCATTGATGGTTAACGCGGGTTTGTGAGTGGTGCTTCTCAACGATTATAGCAAATGTAGGTCAGTACACTACTCCAGTACACCACCACTACCACACCTTACACCAGTACACCACCACTACCACACATTACACCAGTACACTACCACACCTTACACCAGTACACCACCACTACCACACCTTACACCAGTACACCACCACTACCACACATTACACCAGTACACCACCACTACCACACATTACACCAGTACACCACCACTACCACACATTACACCAGTACACCACCACTACCACACATTACACCAGTACACCACCACTACCACACCTTACACCAGTACACCACCACTACCACACATTACACCAGTACACCACCACTACCACACCTTACACCAGTACACCACCACTACCACACCTTACACCAGTACACCACCACTACCACACATTACACCAGTACACTACCACTACCACACCTTACACCAGTACACCACCACTACCACACCTTACACCAGTACACCACCACTACCACACATTACACCAGTACACCACCACTACCACACATTACACCAGTACACCACCACTACCACACATTACACCAGTACACCACCACTACCACACCTTACACCAGTACACCACCACTACCACACATTACACCAGTACACCACCACTACCACACCTTACACCAGTACACCACCACTACCACACATTACACCAGTACACCACCACTACCACACATTACACCAGTACACCACCACTACCACACATTACACCAGTACACCACCACTACCACACCTTACACCAGTACACCACCACTACCACACATTACACCAGTACACCACCACTACCACACATTACACCAGTACACCACCACTACCACACATTACACCAGTACACCACCACTACCACACATTACACCAGTACACCACCACTACCACACATTACACCAGTACACCACCACTACCACACATTACACCAGTACACCACCACTACCACACATTACACCAGTACACCACCACTACCACACATTACACCAGTACACCACCACTACCACACCTTACACCAGTACACCACCACTACCACACATTACACCAGTACACCACCACTACCACACCTTACACCAGTACACCACCACTACCACACATTACACCAGTACACCACCACTACCACACATTACACCAGTACACCACCACTACCACACATTACACCAGTACACCACCACTACCACACATTACACCAGTACACCACCACTACCACACCTTACACCAGTACACCACCACTACCACACCTTACACCAGTACACCACCACTACCACACATTACACCAGTACACCACCACTACCACACATTACACCAGTACACACACCACTACCACACCTTACACCAGTACACCACCACTACCACACATTACACCAGTACACCACCACTACCACACATTACACCAGTACACCACCACTACCACACCTTACACCAGTACACCACCACTACCACACATTACACCAGTACACCACCACTACCACACATTACACCAGTACACCACCACTACCACACCTTACACCAGTACACCACCACTACCACACATTACACCAGTACACCACCACTACCACACCTTACACCAGTACACCACCACTACCACACATTACACCAGTACACCACCACTACCACACCTTACACCAGTACACTACCACACCTTACACCAGTACACCACCACTACCACATTCTAGATATATTCTCCCCCTGCCACACACCTGACTCCAGACGCCCCCCTGCCACACACCTGGCCCTAGACACCCCCTGTACACACACCAGACTCCAGACTCCCCCCTGCCACACACCTGGCTCTAGACCCCCTGCCACACACCTGGCCCTAGACTCCCCCTGCCACACACCTGGCTCTAGACTCCCCCTGCCACACACCTGGCTCCAGACTCCCCCTGCCACACACCTGGCTCCAGACTTCCCCTGCCACACACCTGGCTCCAGTCTCCCCCTGCCACACACCTGGCTCCAGACTTTCCCCTGCCACACACCTGGCTCTAGACCCCCCTGCCACACACCTGGCTCCAGACTTCCCCCGCCACACACCTGGCTCCAGACCCCCTGCCACACACCTGGCTCTAGACTCCCCCTGCCACACACCTGGCTCCAGTCTCCCCCTGCCACACACCTGGCTCCAGACCCCCCCCCCTGCCACACACCTGGCTCCAGTCTCCCCCTGCCACACACGTGGCCCTAGACTCCCCCCAGCCACACAATAGACGTCAGCCACACCATAATTAGTAATAATTAAAGACGGCTTTACAAATTTTCTTTGTTTTATAGTCATTATCTTTTAATACGTTTGGTCGTATAGACATTTACATTAGATGTTAATACTGACTTAATCATATTATTCCTGTCCACACTGAGGTCACGGAAATGTTATACGGTGCCCTTGGACGGGGCGAGAGCTCTGGGTGTAGGGCAGCCTGCGTATGCTACACCCACTCTACGCACCACGTATGATACACCCACTCTACGCACCACGTATGCTACACCCACTCTACACACCACGTATGCTACACCCACTCTACACACCACGTATGCTACACCCACTCTACACACCACGTATGCTACACCCACTCTACACACCACGTATGCTACACCCACTCTACGCACCACGTATGCTACACCCACTCTACACACCACGTATGCTACACACACTCTACACACCACGTATGCTACACACACTCTACACACCACGTATGCTACACCCACTCTACACACCACGTATGCTACACACACTCTACACACCACGTATGCTACACCCACTCTACACACCACGTATGATACACCCACTCTACACACC